GACCCTGTAATGTAATGACCTCCCTTCTGACATGACTGTGGCTTTGAGCATCACTGAAGTGACCCTGAGGAGAAGCTGCTAGGCCACTTTCTCACAGGTCAGGACGTGGCAGATGGAGTGGAGGTGAAGGCCTCGATTATTGGGCTGAAATTACTACTTAGTAAAGAATCAAACAGAATTATTTACTTTTCTCCTTGTCTCAGTTTTCTAGAAACTAACATAACATTTATTGACATAAACATTTATTAGTCAACCAAGAAACATGCAAATGAGGCAGATGATACAGCCCAAGCAAAGAGCTGTCAGAGAGCCAGAGGGCTGTTTAGCATTTGAAGGAGTACAGTAGCTGTATACCAACAGGAGCCTGACAGAAGAGCTACAGTTACAATCTAAGCAGTTCCTTAGTAGAATAACTAACACTTCAGACTGCCTGATATTATTAGAATGATTAGCAATGCTGTGAAGCAGGAAAGCGATTACATCTACTAGAACGTGTACTGTAGCACCAAAGGAAATCATCAACAAATGATGATCAAGAAATAAAATGGCAAACGGACTTGGGTTGACAAGAGTGGGAGTGCGACATAGAGAAGAAGAAACAGACACTATTTGATGTTAAGTTCTATTTTATTTATTTATTTATTTTAAAATTCTTTGTTGATTACCGTGCAAACGTAATACTTTGCCATCTGTCTCGGAAATATGTGATTGTTCAAGAATCCAAAGATAACGAATAAGAATAATGGAAAAATATAAAATGAGTAAAATGGTAACAAGCTAAACAAGAAGATAAAGGGGGCAGAGCAGATCGAAAAGCAATAACTTATTAATAACCAAATTAGCCATTTCAAGGGGGTCCTGAGTCAAGTGATCAAAAAGTCAGAATGACATTAAAAGGGAGGACATGAACCTAGAGGAGCACGGAGAGGGCTTTGTGTGCTAATATCCGCTCATCCCAGCTAGTCTGTATCATTCTCTGATAAAAGGGGCCGTTATCCTGAATGGTTCTGGGTCTGCTCTATCAGCACTGGGATGGAAGTGAGGAAGGTCTCCCTGGCAACGTGACATCAGAGGGAGATAAGCGAACATAAGGTGCCATGACACATGCGAGTCTGAATTACTATTTCACGTCGTTATGTTTCATATACCTCAACACCTCATTTCGGACCTTACTTAATTTCAGGCCGTATATGAGGGGATTGAGGAGAGGAGGTACAATTAGGAACTCTAACGCCAGGAAGTGGCGTAAGCCCTGTGGAAAATCTCTGGATCCGTAACGGCTGTACATCATGTCAAACAACGAGGCCACTGTCACATTAATTAACGACAGAAAATGTGGAGTACACGTCTGAATGAATTTACTGCGGTTCTCTATTGACTTCAAGCTGGTTTTGATCAGTTTCACATAAGAAATAAAAATGAACAACACGTGACCGAAATATGTAACAATTACCAAATACCCTAAAACATTATTTGCTACATTTGAAGTGCAAGACATTTTAACAATAGCCCAGTTTTCACAGTAGAGCTTCTCAATGTGTGATCCACACAGAGTCATACTGGAGCTCAGGACAATTATAACAAACATAATAAAAATAGGAAGAAACCATGAAAATGCCGTCAGTTTAAAGACGGTCCCCCCTGTCATGACTGTGTGATACTCCAACGGCCTGCATATGGCCACAGACCTGTCATAAGACATCACTGTTAACGTGGAAAAGTCACACAGGACAGCAGAGTAAATCACAAACAACTGAACGAAGCATCCTGACCGTGAGATTTCTTGGACGTCAGAGAGCAGATCATACAGGAACTTGGGGTAGAACCCTGACGTCCCATACAGTCCGTTGAGACAGAGGTTACAGAGAAACACGTACATGGGCTCGTGGAGCGGCTTCCTCAAGGCGACTGTGACAATTATTATCACGTTTACAGCGATGATGACAAGGTAGTAAAGAAACGCTATGCAGAAGAAAACGTATCTGCTCTCCCTGCTGGCGTTGATCCCAGACAGAGTAAACACTGTAGAGTTGGACATGACCTCCATGGGCAATGTGGGCATCGTCTGCAAAGAAAAACAATTCCGCTCATGGGGTTTATTGTTAACCTTTTAAAAATGTGAAGATTTTGTATGGACGTGAGGTTCAATGTCTTTGTTAGATCAGTTGGTTCCACATCATTAATCAATTTTAACAAGTTAAAAAAAAATTACGATTCTATTACAGTATGTATATATATGGGCACTGCTCTGTCTTTCACCTTTGATTCTGAAGTGTTTTCAATCGTCTTTCTCACATTCAGAGTAAAACCGTGATCCGCTCTCTGAAGTGCTTTAGACTCCTTGATAAAGACTGGAACTAAATCCTGCACACAGTACAGCCCTTGGGAAGGAGAGATTGGAGCCCTGACATCTCTACATGGAAGCATGCGGCCTGTAGGGTCACTCTCACCCCCATACCTGCCCACTGTATGTCTGGTTCCTTTCAGGTTCCTCTAAGGCTTGGTGTCCTCATTCTTGGTCCTACAGATATGATGTAAAGGCACAGCTGGGTTGTGTCATTTAATTTATCATTAATTTTGAGACAGTGGCTTGAACAGTAGCACTCAACTGTTAGATCCTCATTTCAATCCTGCTGAGCCAGGTCACAGCGCCCCCTGTAGCTTGATCAGTGAAAAGATCAATTCAGTAACATCCAACTGGCTAACAAAATCCAAAAAGGTTATTAATTTCTCAAGGATTTACTTTGTACCTGTGCATTTGTAAAATATGTATATCTTTAAAGAAATTATTTGTTTGACATACTTGCTAATATAATGCATCCTTTATTTTTGCACGAAGGCAAGAAATTCCTGTTTCAATTGGACATGAACAGAATCTAGTCTTTTTAAAAAAAACTGCAAAAAAACTGCTTTCTTTCATTATGAATTTAGACAGACTTACATGCATTTCCAGACCAAGCCGTCCAAGCTGAACATTGCTGTAGAAGCGGAATATCTCTTTAGATTTTAATAAAAATTAACATCAAACATCATAGATGAAAACGTCTTGAATATAAACATGAAGCACTTGTTTAGCTGACCTCTGTCTTTGCTCAGATTTAATCATCTTTCCTACCCCAGTGTCTTTCTGAAGCGATTTCAGTTACTTGCCTTTTTCTCAGTGGTACAACCAGCAAACCCAGAAGTGCAGATTCTTTATACTATACTAATGGCTGCTTCTATAAAATATAAAAAGCCAAATGATGTATGCTGGTCACGTACTGTTATTTACAGCTATATGCTAACATAATATCAATGGCGTGTTTTAAAGTGGCACCAAATATTATTAAATTAAAATAAATATTCTACTAATACATCAAAATCAGCCCTCATAGGCATGTTTACCGATATAATGATTTGGGCTTAAATCTAAATAATAATGCCTGTGAATTGAATAAATAAACACCAGTAGATAAATAAATAAACAATAGCTATTATTATTAGTATCTGGTACCTGTGACTGCCCATCCCTGATCTATCTGTTCATAGACTATTATCTTTCCTCTTATAGGATGCAGAAAGAGAACCGGGAATTATGGGAATTATGCAATTACCCTAATGGAGAGGAAGAGGGAGGGGCCTGTGACCTTCTGCTCATTGGTACAGATTTGGCCTGTATGTTGGGCTCGGTTGGGGTTGACCTTGCTTAGAAAGTACAGACACTCCAGGCCTTGTGTTCACAATCAAACCCTTTATGGCTCAGTATTATATTAATTAAACTGTGGTCTAATCATGCATTAACTGTACAGTTACCCTTAGTGTACCCTGATGTCCTCGCTAAAGCTACCCACTGTGACCTTATCAAATCTGGCCTCCTAATCATCCTCTCTATCTAACTGATGAATTCTCTCCTGCCCCTTCACCACCTTAGCCACTGTGTAGTGAGTGTATTGGTGCAGAATGGCTGCTGCCACATCACCCATGTAGGTGATACACGGTGGTGGTCGATGAAGTGGCTCCTCATTGCTTCTGTAAAGCGCTTTGGGTGTCTTGAAAAGCGCTATATAAATGTAACATTCATTCATTCGATCATTCATTCATTCATTCATCTATGTGATAAAAGAGTTTTATACGGGGTTACTCTGAAAGTATTATATTTTGGTTCAGAGTAAAAATGTTCAGATGAATGAATAATTACTAACTCTTTCTCCTGATTTCCTTATTGGACCATTTCCTGTACTCTACTTTCCTGTTCTTAATACCCACTGAACACGGTAGATGTGGAGGCTGTATTCTGCATGGTGAATGTAGTTACCCCATGCACTACAGACAGGAGTGATCTTCTGGACCACAAGCATTGTGGGTAAACTACATTCATCTGTAGCTGCCTGAACCCAGCCAGGCTCCAGTGTCTGACAGTACAGAACAGTGCCAGTTAATTACAGACCCACAACTTCTGAAGTAGTCAAGCCCCCCACTGGACCTCATACAACAGGAACAAGTGAACAGCAACTAATTAGACATGTACAAGACCTAATGGCCTTCAAGAAACCAAAAGAAATTAACAAATGACTCATTAGATAGGTACAAGACCTTCAAGCCTTTATGAAATTATCACAAACAATATGGACATGCACAAGACCAACTGGCCATTCTGAAACTAACATAAATGAACAAACCATTGCTTAGACAAACATGATGCAATATTTACTTTTTCAGGTGCCGGCCATGTGTGCCTGACCTTGTCAAGTATCTTCTTTAATTAAACAACAATAACAATGAGATTCTCTTGACACCCATGGCCTACAAACCCTATGGGTGATGTGAGAGCTTCAAGTTCATAAACATGTTAATCAGACCATTAGCCATTAGGTCATTAGTCCATTATATTCCCTTCCTCCCCTGGAAACCAGTTTAGAACCATTAACCCAGGAGACCAAAAGGACAAGACACACAAATGAAGTCCTCTGTGGGTCTGACTGGGAGGATGGAGTGAGCTAACCTTGGTGGACCTCGGGGAGACCCTGTAATGTAATGACCTCCC